CCTAAAAAGTAAAAAAATTGATGATTAATTTAAGATAAATTTAAAATAAAAATTTTTTATTTCTATTAATAATTTTGAATACTTAAATCAACTTAAAAATTTTAATTAAAATATAATTATAAAACATAAAAAATATAATATTACATAATTTTTTATGAATTAATATAAAAGAATAAAAATAATCCCGTGCAATGCACAATTTAAAAAAATCTATTTAAAACTAATTTATATATTAATATTTTTACATATCATAAATGATCATTTAATAATAATAATAATAAAGTAGTAGTTAGTGGCTCTAAAATCACTCATGTCCTAGTAGTAGTATATATGTTTATCAAATGAACAACTCACGTCCTAGTAGTAGTAATAGTGGTATCTTTATCATATCACATGCTTCATCTCTAGTAATAGTGGTATCTATATCATATCTCATCTTCTAGTAGTAGTAGTAGTTAGTGGCTCTGAAATCGCTCATGTCCTAATAGTAGTAGTAGCATCTTTATCAAATGAACAACTCACGTCGTAGTAGTAGTACCTTCATCATATCATATCTTTATCATATCACATGTTTCATCTTTATCAGATGAACAAAAATTAGTGGTAATAGTAATAGTTGTTAGTGGCTTTGAAATCGCCCACGTCCTATTAGTAGTAGTATCTTTATCATATGAACAACTCACATCCTAGTAGTTGTAATAGTGGTATCTTTATCATATCACATGTTTCATCTTCTAGTAGTAGTAGTAGCAGCAGTATATTTATAATAGTATATTTATCATATCACATGTTTCATTTATCAAATGAACAAAAATTAGTGGCTCTGAAACACTCACGTCCAACTTCTTCCGTGCCCGTAAAAGTGGCTATCATTGTACAGTTACTTGCAGGAAATAAGGGATATATCTTTATCATATCACATGTTTCATCTTTCTCAGATTTTTATATGTTTGTTCGGAATTTTGTGTTTGAAATTTCTCAAGAATTATACAGCTACCGCTGTCTATTTCATTCTTTTCCCTCAAACAACACATGTCATGATTATGAACAAAAATTAGTGGCTCTGAAATCACTCACGTCCTTCCCATATTTCTCATCCATAATTTCACCACATTCTTTTGACACAAGAAATCAATATCCAGACGAATACAAACATTTTTTCGCCATCGAAGTTCCTTGAAAGCTGTGCTTGAACTTGTTAAGCCTGCATACGCCACCAGCCCAAATTAGCACATAGAAGCATGAGGTAATTAACCACTAGTAAATCTTATGGTAAATTGGTAATTAATGATTAATTATATATATATATCAAACTTCATATGCTTACTCCAAACTCTGTCAACTTTGTCAAACACATTTTCTATGGGCAATTTTTGTTGAACACTGGATGAATAAGATTAGCATAAAAGATGGGATTTGAACTATTACCACATGAAATTCAATAACCATGTTGGCCGAAGCAGACGAAACTTCAGGGAAAACAGTACAGAGGTCATGCATTCATCGTGGGACATTAT